GGCCGACGACGACGGCGCCGCTTACGAAGCGCGCAAGGCCGCGCGCGTCTCGCGCACAGGCATCGTCAAGCTTTCCACGAACACCCCCGACGTCGAGTAACCGGGGATGCGGAAGCTCACCAAAATCTGAGAGTTGGCCGCAACGGCCGCCGACCCATCCCGTAGCGTAATTTTCCCCACGAGCGATGGCGTCTTTCCCCGCGGCACAGCCCCGACGTTCCATGTACATGTTCCAGATGTCGACTCGAACTGCACGGTGCCGTAGTTGGCGCTCAAAGAGCACGGAGCCGGGCTCGGATAGTCCAATCTCTTTGCCGCCCGCCGCGTTCATTCTTTGAGCCGGAGGGAAACGACGAAGCACCAGACGAGGAGGGGGCGACGGCGGAGGCGGACTGAGGCACCAGCGAGATGGATACCGAGCCCGAGCACGCGTTATGGTCGAATTTGATCTGAGATTGAAAATCGATTGGCAAGTTGAGGGAGTTTGTTTCGCGGATCTTGTACGTCATCAGTTTGAACGGGCCGTCAGGCGGGACGAAGGCGAGCTGATCAGACTCTTGGTATCTGTTGAGAAGGACGCAGCGATGTAAAGCGACGTCATCAAATGGAGCGTTTGCTCGAATGCACATCGCTAGATCGGGGTTTCCCGAGAGTCTAGAGTTTGACTTTGACGACACCGGCAATGAGAAGATCGGAAAGGTTATGGCGAGTCGCGGAGTAGGTAGCGTGAATGGTTTCGATGACGTCAACGAAGATTTCGTTCTGGGGGTACTTGACGTTTGCGCGTCGCCATGGGGTGTGCGGAGAGGCATAGGACATGGTAGCCGCCTTGGCCGAGTCGGCGCCGAGCGATTCAAAGACGCGATTGATCATGGAGGGCGGGGTGATGAGTTCTTTGAGTGTGTTGGGTTCGACAGTGAGCGGAGAGGCGTTGTCGAGCATTTCTTGAAGGAGCTCGTACACAGTGATGAAGACGTCTTTGATGGCGTGCTCGTTAAGCTCCCCAAATTAGTCGACGAAGACATCGGCGAGAGACTCGAGGAATTGGGTCACGAAGAGAGGTTGGGTGTCTGTGAGGACGGAGGCTAGGAAGAAGAGGCCGTTGCGGTGCAGATGGATCAGGGCGCCTTTCGGGGTGGGGAGGAAAGGGGGCGCGTCGATGGGAATGCCGCGCGCGGATTTGGCTGTTTGATTCCAAAATGCACCGCTTTCCGTGCGACTGGTGTTGCCCCGATAGTGCTTTTCGATGATGACTTCGCCTGTACTGTTGAGAATAAAGATGCTGTGAATCATTTTGTTGTGCCAAGGCAAAGGACAGGCGTGAGAATGCGTTGAACCTGTGTGCACCGAACAAGACAATTAGAGTAATTGATTGCGATGCGAAAGTTGCGATACTAAATGTGTGAGTAGGTGAAGAATTGCTGCCCCGTCCTCTTGCGAACAAAGTTAGATGATGCTTGTCCCAATTTCTTCACGCATGCTTCTTGCTCTTTCCGCGGAACAGTGAGCAGTCTTTAGCACACGCAGTGGCACGTGTACACGTGGTCATCTTCAAGAACGGGACCAAACGGAGATACTGTACGAAATTACACGTTTCAAAGGGCTTCTTTCTTTTGTTGGCTTGAGCAGATGAGGACTCTGATCGCAATAGTCGACTGTGAGTTTGCCCATAGTAGGATGTGTCACCTCACTCATCTGTCTGACCATCTTCACTCCAAAAAGTGGGGGGGACCAGCACCTTCCCTCTGACTTCAAAATGAACACGCCTGCGATGCTGCAGCTACCAAGATTCGTGATGTTGGGGATCAGGCGAACACCAACGTCATCATGTCGTGAAACATCGGCCTCATTGTTTTCGAGGAGTGTCTCGAGCAGGATACCAAAGCCACAGTCTCAAAGAGAGCAGGATTCAGCCAATAGTGGATATATGGAGCAATTGAAGAAGCACCTTTTACCGGAAGTATTCCCTGCCGTGGATTCGCCCAAGGGAGAACGCCGTCGAGATGATGATCCTAAGGGAGAACGCCGCCGAGATGATGATTCGGATTTCAAGAAAACCCTCGTCCGTGACGCTACCGTGCTAATTCGTGAGCAACTGATGGCACCCTATCTACCGAAAACGGATGAGGACGCACAAGGAGAACGAGAGGACGCTCCACAACTGGTCGTATTAGATGGTTCGAAAGGGGTCGGGAAGACTTCCCTTGTTGAACAAACAGCCGCTTTTGCGCGACTCAAGGGTTTCATTGTGCTTTACATTCCGTACCCGGAAAGCTGGACCGACGGTCGCGGCTTTTTCTGCGCAAAGGCCGTCGACGAGATGGACCCTGTCATGGATGGTCTCTCCGCCGTCAGATACTACGATCGTCCACATCAAATGCATCAAGTATTTAAAGATTTGCTTCAAACACATAGCGGAGATCTCGCTCAGATTGTGTGTGACACGCAATTTAGCACCTCGCTCACCGAGAGTTGCGTCTCTTTACTCGACCTTGTTGAGTTGGGGGATCGCCTGCTAAGTGATATTGATTCCAACTGGAGGCAAACTCCTACTTCCGCGGGAGAGGTCTTCCATCAGCTCATTCGCCAACTTTGCGCTTGTGAGGACAAACCAGTCGCTCTCATCATTGACAATTACGACAAATTTGTCGGAATGACATGTCTCGTCAACGATCGCCTTCAACGCATGCATTCCAATGCGGTTCGAGTAGTCGGTGAAGATTTTGGGCGCTATGCTATTGAAAAGACCTCTCAAGAAATGCGAAACGGCTTCGTCATGCTCGCAGTTGACCCGACGCATGCTTTCGAGCCATACAGAAAATCGCGTGTGCGGTCTGGGCTTGATTTCCCGCTTTCCATTGAAACGCTTTCGGACCCAAGTGGCAAAAAATGGTGCTCTAGTTTTAGGAAGCGGGTCCAAGATTCTGAGACGAAGAGAAACCTATACATTGACGTGCCGCGGCTCACCTCATCAGAATTGAAGGCTCTATGTTCAACTTTTGTTCAAGGAGGTCCCCGGAAACTTATTGATGGCGACCAAGAAGAGGAAACTGCGCGATTAGTCGCCTTGGCAGGTGGGCGAGGTGACCTTATGCGAAAAATTGCGGTTTCACGATAGCTTCCGGATGGTTTTCACCTTGTAAAAAGTTATGTACTAGATCAATCACGATGCTAGAAGTCACGATGTATGTCGCTGCTGCTTTTTTCATTCTTCAGGTGGAAGCTGGAGCGAGATAGTAAAGAAAACTGCCTTGCAGAAGCGACTAATCAAAAAATTCAGTCGCACCTATACCCTGCAAAGTGGTTAGCCGTCTCCTCGCGAACTACACGGTCACAGGGCGAAGATCAGGGAGAGTTCGACGTTCGTGGTCCAATCCATCCCCTTCGACGTAAACCCTGGTCGGGAAAAACCACCAGAATGGAACGGAACCAAATACCTTTCTCAAGTTTTTGGCAAAACCCAAATCGACGAAGACATCGGCGAGAGACTCGAGTAATTAGGTCACGAAAATAGGTTGGGTGTCTGTGAGGACGGAGGCTAGGAAGAAGAGGCCGTTGCGGTGCAGATGGATCAGGGCGCCTTTCGGGGCGGGGAGGAAAGGGGGCGCTTCGATGGGAATGCCGCGCGCGGATTTGGCTGTTTGATTCCAAAATGCACCGCTTTCCGTGCGACTGGTGTTGCCGCGATAGTGCTTTGCGATAATGACTTCGCCTGTACTGTTGAGAATAAAGATGCTATGGATCCTTTCATTTTGTTGTGGCAAGGCAAAGAACAGGCATGAGAACGCTTTGAATCTGTGTGCACCGAACAAGACAATTAGAGCAATTGATTGCGATGCGAAAGTCGCGATGCGAAATGTGTGAATAGGTAAAGAATTGCTGCCCCGTCCTCTTGCGAACAAAGTTGGATGATACTTGTCCCGATTTCTTCACGCATGCATGCCCTTTCCGCGGAACAGTGAGAAGTCTTTAGCACATACTGTACAGTGGCACATCCCTAACCTAAACTCGTGCCTTGCCGCGCCCCACATCCCGCACTCTAACCCCGATAAACAACGGGGGCAGTGACGGTGCCCATGGGGATCGCATACCTTAGATGACGCCGAAGTCGCACAGCACCTGGACGAAGCAGATGCGCATGGTGCCCGGCTTGGCCACATAGGGAATAGTAAAAAATATCCCCACCGAAGCTCAAAGCATTATTGAAGGTCGCTCTCTGTGCATGGGAATGCTAGCGGATGATTTCAAAAAATTTAGCGCGACCTAATTGTTTGCCACGGAGATCGAAAAAGTGTGACGTTTTCGGGTGGCAGGCACATGGTTCCGATCGCTTGGCATGGCGGCTTTTCAGTTCCCTCAGATCAAACATGGTTGTCTTGCACATCAGATATCTCTGTGCAGAAGGCTGGTCCTTAGCCAGTCGATCATTGAAACCATTCTCGGCAGCATATGTCTCGAAGGCCTCTGCGTATTTCGGAGGTATAGCATACCAAATCTTGGCAGCGCTTCCGCGGTGAAGGTAGGAATGAGGAGAAGTTCTTTCCAGGTCAGCTGGAAGTCGCTGGAGTGTCCACGGAGGAGTTTCTGGAGCTCCTCCTTGGACACTCCAGCGAATTAATGATGGAAAACTCTGACGACAGTGATTGTGAAAACTCTGGGTGTGGACAGCATGCGACAGAGAAGCAGCTTGATGCTGAGATAGGTCATGGGGAAAGGGACGGACGATGTTCGGCGGGGAGTGATTGGAGGAAGAGGATCAAGCTGTGGTGGATCGACAAGTGGGGCGAGGGGGGAATGTCACGTCGTCACCAACCTTGCTGGCATTGTTCTAGTCTTGCGCGGCGATTGGCTGCACTGCACATTTCGGGCATGGCCAATAAAATTTCAATAATATCTTTCCATTCCGCACTCGAACATTGCCGCACTCGAACATTGCCGCACTTGAACATTGCCGCACTCTCCCGTCCCAAGTTGACTATTTCCCGATCCCGCCGTCATCCCACTCCAAATTCGCAAACCCTTATTCCTACCTCTCCCCCTCCACCCCCTTTCTCACACGCTTCTTCTCATCTCCCCCCTTCACCATGACATGGTATACCCGCAGGCCGGTGTGGTCTCCCACAGCTCAACGTCCTCGCGCATCAAAACGGCTTCAAGGACCTGCACGTGTGTGACGATTGTACAGTACTGCCATGTTCAAGAACAAAATACGCCTCCAATCAGACCCGAGAATCAACTACATCCACCGATGCAGGCCTTTTGGTAGTTGAATTGGCTGAAAACGAACAAGTCATGCTCTCTCGAATGAAATAATTGTAACTGCACTGCGCCAGACTGGTGCGCTGTGCTGATCCTGATTCTACCAAGCCCTTCTCCTGTCAAATGCATCTCAGTTTGCTTACAACTGGACGATCGCACAGTTTGAATCAATATTTTGAAGACACCATGCGCTCGCGTAAGATCCTCTCTCGCGGTGGGAATCCGATCGATGTCAATCATAGCAGACGAAGGCGAGCACAAAACTCTGGAAGGTGGCTGGAATTTCTGCAGTCCCGCCCAGGTCTACTTGCAGCTCTTTGCGATGGCGATCGCTCGCATTCTATTGCAAACCACGCAGAAAACACGCCGCATTCGTTCTTAGGCGCTGACAATCCCCCCTCTCAGGTGATTACTCAACACTCCGGGCATCAAGATGGAGAAAAGACCGCTAGCCGATTGCATGAAGATGTCGCCAATATTGCCCGCCTCGCCGGACATGAGAACATTCATAGAAATCTGGATTTTTATCAGTCAGGGACCCTCAAACGCAGTTCTGCCACTGATCCAACACATCGCACAGCAGATAACGTTGACATTCCGTTCATGGTAGAGTTTCCAGAATGGCAAACATCAGATATCTCAGATCAAAACCCTGAATACCAGTTGCCAAATAATGAGGTTCTTCCGGAGAAATGCAAAGGTTCAGTACCCGGGACTGAGTTAGAATGCCTCCAGAAACGTCTGACAGACTTGCGTAAGGTTATTTCGCCGTGGACAAACATATTAGGTCTGGTAACTGTTTGTGGGAGCGTCAGGTACACTGTGAAACAGTACAATCTACTTCGAGATCTTTTGAAATGGAACAGTACCGGTTGGCAACTACCATCTTACTCGGCTATTCAACGCACGATCTTCCCACACATACTGAAATGGTGTCTTCCTCGGAGCTCGATCGAACACTTTAAAATCGACATGGCGAAGGTAAAACCTACCCCTCCTACTTTTCAGGAATATGGAGAGAACACCGAAGACTTAAATCGGGAAATGTCTGCCCCCGTTCGGGTTATTCTTCCGTCCGAGTGGGCGAAGCTTGATGTTCTCACGTATCCCCTCTATGACAGTATGTTCTGTCAAGGCCATATGAAGGACTCAATTGAGAATTCAGAAATAGTGCGTGACCGAGCAAGTGTTTTGAATGCCGGGGAGTTCATTTTTGCGACCTTCAGGAGGAGGCCCGTGAAAGTATTCCCAGGAGCCAAAGTTCTTGTCGACATCAATTTTGTGCGGCCGCGAACTTCATTACTCGATTATTCCAAAATTGATTCCGTTGTGAGTGAGTACGAGGTAATAGGCTTCACAAATCATGGTTGCACATTGAGCGGGACTGTTTCGTCTGTTTGGTGCGTAGGTTCGGAGGATAGCATTTCTTCGAGTTCAGAACTAGCACAAAGTAGAGCCCATGGCTCGGCAAGATATCTGATTAGGAAACTTTCAAGAGCATCGGCAATGAAGAAAATTGGAATGGAAAATATGTCAAGAGTCCGAAACCAGGAAATTCAGCATTCAAGAAACAACCGATTTCGGAAGCGACAACGGCTACGGAGGGAAGTCACTGTCCCGTCGGATCGTGATAACTTGCTCCCCGGGGATATCGTATGTTTGCTTCTCCCTGGTCAATCGCAAGACCCACTGGAACTTTGTGTGCTTGTCGTCTATAGATATTGGAAACATGACGGTGTGAAATCTGTCCGCCTGCTGTTTGTTAAGACTTCAGACTTATGTGGCAGTGAGGAAGAGAATTGTGAAGAGGACTTCAGTCGCAATGAGGTTTCACTTTCGTTCGGCCATGATGATTTGTTGGCAAGTCACGAAGTAGTGGGGCATGTGCGTCTCGACTGCAATGATGCCAATGATCTAGATGTAGCAAGTGGGGCAAGGTCCAGAGTCGTCCCTAAATCAAATTGCAAAGGTATACTGCAAGATGGGACCCCGTATGTGGTATACAGAGTTCTCTTGTACTGTGATGACTTCCAGCCGCTTTCCCCGACGTGCCAGAAAGGGTCCGCAGGTGGTTTTTACATGCTGCCGCTCGGCTTATTGCCGCGTGATAGATCCACGCGCGCTGCTACAAGGCTCATTGGCCTTACTCCACCGGGTGTCAGCACAAACCAGCTCATGCTACATATCATCCCGGATTTGCTGAGAGCCTGCGTTGATGGGATTGAAGGAAAGTCACCAGACGGGGACGAAGTGAGGATTTTTATAGATGTTGTTGGATTTCTCGGCGATTACCTGGAGTCGGCGCATGGTGTTGACCTCTTAGGACATCGCGCTAATTCACCCTGCACTGCATGTTCTGTACGCAAACACAGGGGTGCAGATAGAAGCTCTCTTGGATATACAACCATTTTACATGCTTCCAACTCTTCTGTCCTTAGAACTGCCGATCGGCATCGGGCCCTTCGCGAGAGCGGTATTGACGACAATGATTGTAATCTTTTGGGAATGTATTCAACCACGAGAGTAAGCAATGAGTCATGCCCACTGCTTAAGCTTCATTCTGAGCTTCAGAAAGTCCGATCGGACATTCAAAGGGCCAATCATGGTGGACCAGTTGTGTCTGGGCTTTTCGACCCGTACCGATCGAATATCATCGCTCCGGACCATCTGCTCAGCGGATTAGCCAAACATATTATGCAAACTGCTTTTGCTGTTCTGCCTGGCAAGGAGTGGAAACAAAGAATGGATTATATGGTTTGTTCTGCGCTTAGTGAAAATGGGCTCATACGGCAGTGTTCGACGTACCACGTTTCAAAAGGAACCCTGCATGGGATGAGTCTCTCATCAACTTTTTGCATG